TCTCAAAATTTTTTCAAAAACTTAAATAACTCGGTTATTTTGGACTTATCTGAAAAATGGTAAAGAGAAAATATGATTCTTTTTACGGAGATCTACCAGCCCTGAAAATTTTGCACTTATTTAAGACTCACCCTGTATTAATTTGTACCCGATCACACTCAACCTCACAGACAGGGTCTCAGATTGGTTATTAGTTATTAGAAATAAAATCTTCATAACAATTCAAATTAACTGGCTTCTTCAGGCCACTGATAAGGAGCGTCCACATGTTCGTAGCGTCAATGTCTGTGGTATTTTGATGTTTTGATTTGCTTAAAACACTTCTTAAAGTTGTCGAAGCTGCAAGAACTGTTTTTAAAGCATTCACAAATTATCATAAACCTCAACACTAATAGCTTACCCTTAAATACAACAAATGATAATGATTCGGCCATGTATGTTTTAATAACACAATACGAATATATTTTCTCATTACGGCGCTTTGTCGAAGCAAAAATGGTGGAAAATTAAACAGCAGAACCTGTTTATTGGAAAATTATGCTAATTTTATGTCAAAGATCTGCTCGCCAGTCGAACATAAAAGGGTTGAGACGTAAACGAAAAAATAAAAATTTAAATGAAACGAGTAGCTAGGTTAATGCCAGCCCGAGTTGCAGCGATATGCAGTTTTCTACGGTTTTCTATTTTACAAAAGGAAGAATGTACAATTACGGTATATTAATAAAACAAAACACATAGCTACGCGTAGTAGCTTTCTTTTTGCTTTTAAGTCTCGTAAAACTAAATTAAAAAGTTAGAAAACAAAATATTCTGCTGATTTAACATATTATGACGAATTTTTTTGGATCCTTATACTGAAGAATACTATAAACACAAGTAATGTATAAAATTAATTAATTTATTATTTAAGAGGTATAAATTAAAATTCTTCACCAGCAAAATAGGTATCCCACGGATGTAATTGACCAATTTTCAAGAAAATCGACAATCAAAGAATATCGAGCATGCCAGAAAACCATTGAGAAACTGCTTTGCTCTGCATTTCTTACTATAAAGGAATTAGGGACAAAATAAAGAAGATTGGAAGTTCAAAATTAAAACCATTTTGATGACCTTGATAATTTTAAGGATTGTTTTAATCAAAATACAGGGTGGTCCGAACTGTATTCCGGAAACTTCGGCAGCATATTCTGCAGATAAAAGTAAGTAAAAAAGTTCGTATAAATGTATGTCCAAAAATGCTTAGTTTCGGAGATATACCTAGGGTGCAGAAGTTTCATTTTTATTTCGGTTTTTTCTGAATAATTTCTGAAGTGACGTCAATATTTTGAGTTTAAATCTTTTGGAATACAGTTCGGACCACCCTGTATAATGTGAAAATTTCACATCACTGCTTTTAACCTCGTTTTTAACCAATTAAAATGGTAAATATTCACTTTACTACAAAACTTGACAGCTTTTAAACGAAAATTTAGGTATTGCTTAGTTACCATGGCAACTGAATTACCATATCGTCGGCTTTATGACGAAAAGGCGTATCTCGATTTTTGGCGATTTTGAGATATCAACGTCATGATATGCCCAATGGGTCATATTTTAACATAGCGAATTTGCGCATCTCAATATTGTACCTTTTTCATTTTATATTCGTTTAAAAATTTACCCCATCTCAAATACTACAATTGTTCGTTATGACGAAGAGACGTACATATGTTGAGATAGGGTTCTTTGTTATATCAATTGGTATACTACAAGAAAGATGGAATTTAAGATAGGTCCTTTTGTTTTAAGTTATGAAAATGCTACCTAATTATTTTCTGATGGTTGCTTGGGACAAAATAAAACTTCTATCATGGCAGCAGCTCTCTTTTACAGTGTGATTTTGAGTCTGTTTTTTTGCCAAAAACCATTGTTAGAATGAGCTAGACTCTGCACATAGCTGTATCGTGTATGCAAAATATTGTTCGAGAATAAATGGCCGAAGAAAAATTGATCGAAAGCAAAACAACGAAACGAAAATTGCCCTAATGGAAAAATTCTCGAAATTATAATTTTCCTAAGAACATTTTAGCGGACCAAAAACTTGCCCGAATGGGTGTAATCACGACCTTATAGATCACATTCTGTCCTCCGAGGTGTCCCTCTTTCTATATTTATAACTCAAGGCTTTGACAAAAGCCTGTATCTGAGACGATTTTACAGAGGTTAGTTCCGAGGTTAGTTCTTGATCTCCAATATCAGTCGTACCAAAATTGATAGCCTGAATGGTTGTCATCTTGGTGCACTCAGTGATGAGGTGTTCTGGTGTTTCCCCATTTTCTCCACAGAATCTCCATTCGTCGTTGTTTTTTACCTTCAATCTACTAATGTGTTCACTGAAGAGACATAAAAGACTTCCAAGCGTTACCAGTGGCTGAAACTAATAAAACCATCTGACGAGAAAGAAAAATACGAACGCCTATGCAGGAATCTGCACGGCACCCTCGTCGGCACCTTAAGAAGATGTGGTGACAGTTACCAATAGTAGTTAGGGAACATCAGAATAATGTAGAAACGCCTGAAAATAACGGAAAAATCAAAACTTTACTACATCTTTCAACTTATTATTATTTAAATCTTTACAAAACATGCTCGGATTTTCGGTCGTATTTCATTATTCATGGCTGTTTTCACTTCCCAGAAAAAAACCACGAAATAGAAACAGCGAAATAACACCATTTCGAAGTGTTGGCGCCTAAGCAATCAGACCAGAATCATCCCCGGAGACATCTGGTGCCGGGTCGTCGGATTAGGAATTCAATTACCGCGGATTGGCCCGAGAATTTGCCGTGGATAAGATTTGCCGGATCTAGAGGGCGTTTACGAAAGAATCTGGCAAATATTGGAATGTCGCATGTCGGGTCGCTGTTAAAAATTGAAATGTTGCACGAAAAATCCTTTCGTATACTTACAGAGTGTTTAACAATCGGTTTAACCTTTAGAGAGAACTCTAGATTATTCCATAAATGTGAGGAATATAAAAAGGGTCCCTCGTTTTACGCGGAGGTTACGTACATTGAAAACACCGCGTATATAGAAATAAACTTTTTATTACTATATTAAATGTTTTTAGAGGTTGTAGGTATATTTAGACCCCATAAACCCGTCGATGAGTTTTTTCCTGAAAGAAAAATTGAAAATATTGTGTTTATTCTATTGATTTTTTTTTTTTGAAAAACTATATCTTGATAATATAGCAACATACATAGGTAGTAGATTAAATTTAAAGGGGAGGAATAATAAAAAATTAAAATTTTAAGTTTTCAAGTTTTTGAAGTAAAATAAGTATGGCGGCTATTTTGAACTTATTTAACAAAACGGCAAGGCGAAAATATACTTTATATTTTTTTATCGAGATCTACCAGTCCTGAAAATATTTGCACATATTTAAGACTCACCCTGTATAGTAAATCTGAGAGGAAATCCCTTGGTAATTCCAGGAAATATGAGGAACATTTCCACAATCTATGTGAACTCTCACTTTTTTCTAAAAATAATACTGCCAACTTTTATTTTTAAGTTTAATACAGAGCTATATATAACAATGATATCGATATTGCATTTTTCCCATCCCCAAACCATAATAAATTATGAAGTATTATCAACGAAAATGCTAAGGTTTCCCTCATTTGTCATCTTGTCAACGACAGTAGGCGCTGGCTTTACCTAATTCGCACCTATGCATTAACAGGAATAAAATTAAAAAAGAACTGAACAAAAGAATTCAGGGAAATATCTTGCTTCAGGGAGCTTCTGACATTTTTTGTCGTAAAAATAATTAATATAATTTTCCGGTGGAATTGGCAACAGTGGCACATTTCTGCTTTCTTTTTCTCTAGACTAGCTACTAAAACCCAAGGCTCTTTTGTTATACCCGAGATTATATCCTAAAATTAATTCTATTAAACATTAAAATCAACAATTTACATTATTTTTTAATAGTAACTTTAAAATCATCACAGCCATGGCACACTCGATTGCAATTTAAAATGCTATTTTTTACGTAAAGATGTCAAAAGTTGATATGTGATATGTCATTTTATTCAGAATGCCATTTTCTATCAAATAAAGTAAAAATATAACATTTAAAAATCAACATTTGTAGTCATTTCCGGTGAAAGAGGAAGTGACCGAAAGCAATTGAATATGTAAATCAATCCTAATTTATGTCATATACTAACATACCAAATCTCGTTGTTTTATCTAAAAATCGAGTGAAAAATATAAAAGTTATGGGGTGCCACTTTTCAAAAACACCCGGTATATTTTTTAAATAATAACCAAGAATTGCTCTGTCTTGTTATATTTGGAAAATCGAACTAGAAGAGATTTTTCATGAAAAGGCACGTCGTCTGACTTTTCCGGTACAAAACTAAACCGACCATAAAGCCAACCTGAGATTGAATGCCAACCCAAAAAGGAATAAAAGAAAATATTCAAATTGACCTATCGTTTCTTGGGATGCATTCCCATAAGGCGTGACAATTTTCCAAGTCATGTGTGACAAGTACAGTGTTGCCAGATGAAATACAAACAATAGAAATACAGCTATTAAAGAACCTTAAAAATATGTAGAATGTAGGGCAGTTAGTTAACCAAAAACAATATTTTTTTTTATTTATTACAACTATTTTAGTTTTTTGTTCCTTATTAAAGAAAATTTTACTGAATATTTTATGTTCCTTCTTTTCTAAAAATACAAGTTTTTAAATTTTTTTGTATGAAAAAATCACATAGACGTGTTTTTGAGGTCGAAATATACCACCCCTAAAAATATTTGCACTTATTTCAGACTCACCCTGTATAGTTTGAAACTGTTTGTGTCCATATATGCAGTTTCGATTTACGCAGTGTTTTCAATTCAAGGTTTCAAGGACTCCTGAATTTGAATTATAATGTAATTAATGTTTTTTTGCTTCCATTTAATAAAAGAGTATCTAACCAAACTTTTTTTGTTCCAGGCTCACTCGCCCCTATTAGGATCGGCAGACAATAAACCCGTAAGTATTAATTAGGTTAAGAGCTCGAAGAGAACACTCGGTTGCCTATCCTTTTATCCTCGGATAGTGTCCTTTTTGGCGCCCCGAAGGGATACTTTCTATATTGCTCCCTGTCAGACAAGTGCTGATGTGGGACTAGACTATAAATACAAGTCTACACGAGCGTGAAAAGCTTTAGAGATATTTTAAATTTGAATTATTCTTTAGAAAAAAATCCATGAAAAACATAGATTGGTAATTAAAGTAAAATAAATGTTGAGTTAACGTTTCCTATTTGCTGCCAAGACTAATCTGGACGGAGTCTACTTTGTTTACGCGGAATCCGAACCTCGGTCCTCTGCTACATCATTGCCAATGGCCTATGGACGTGGTGAGTGTCCAAATTGACTCTTACTCACGAGATATCCGATCTCAACCGGCCTGAATGTGAACAGTATGTGTCAATAGACTTTACACTCTTCTCATGGAACAACAGCACGACATTTTTCAGACGTTCACCTGTCCGTCTACTCGTATCGTCTAACGTCGCTTAACTTCGATGATTCATCAGGAACCGGTGTTTAGCGTAGCTGGGTCATTGCCTGATAGTTAATTTATTAAGTAGATGATCATTTTTATAACAAAGTTGTTGAAGAGATGCTTCGATATACACTAGAATTTTTTTTTTAGAATTTAGAATGAGTGGGAGGGGGGTTAATCACTTCGACCTTACAGATCCATTATGTCCCCCTTTCTTGAATCATAACTCATCATACAGTCCCAGGGCTTTGACAAAAGCCAGTATCTGGGACGGTTTTATAGAGGGTAGTTCTCCATCTCCAATATCAGTCGTACCAAAATTCATGGCACGAATGGTTGTCGTCTCGGCGCACTCAGTGATGAGGTGTACTGGTGTTTCACCATCTTCCCCACAGAATCTGCATTCGCCGTTTCTTCTTAGTTTCAATCTACTGAGGTGTTCATTGAGGAGACAGTGTCCTGATAAAAACCCCGTGACAATCCGAAGATTGTTCTTACTCAGACCCAGGAAGATCTGTGATTTTTCTTGATCATAAGCCCTCAGAAACTTCTTCGAGTGTCTTAGACCATTGCAAGATTTCCATTCCAGGTTGCGGATGGAATCTTCCAAGTTCTTGAGTTCCGCCTTGAGTTGGTTACCACTTGGAAAGCAGAACGGTTCTGGTCCAGTTAGTGGAGTGTTCGCTCCTTTCCTAGCTAGATTATTTGCTTTTTCATTGCCTTCTATCCCTTGGTGAGCAGGCACCCAGTGTAGGAGGACTTTGTTTTCTTTGCCTAATTTATTCAGCTTCTCTATGCATTCTTTGACCAATTTCGAATTGATTGATACTGAGTTGATCGCCTTTAACGCTGCTTGACTATCAGATAATAATATCGATATACACTAACTACAATAACTGAATTCCCAAGTAGCATTTTTAGACACAAAATCGAAACAAAATCTCTGCTGAGAAACATTGCGAAACAGTTTCGTCACATTTTTGATACAGATGTTTCGTAACATAAAATCGCTTTTTGTTTCGAAACATTTTTCCCAAATATGGTTTCGCTACATAAGCTATAACAATAAAGATCTTAGTGTCACAAATTTTGCGAAACTTTTAAGAAACAGATGTGACTCACATTTACAGATTTCGTACCCGTTTTATGACTGAATGAAGTTTCTATATGAGAAATATGAGAACATAACCTTACTTTTTTACTTTAATTATTTATAGTTTTTATAGTACCACAATTAAAAAAAACAGAAGGAAAGACATATAGTGAGTACAAATACAGATATTTTTCATATGCGATAGTCAAGCAGCACTAAACGCGATCAACTCAGTAACCATCAATTCGGAGTTGGTCAAAGAATACCTAGAGAAGCTCAACAAATTAGGCAAAGAAAATAAAGTCCTCCTACTCTGGATGCCTGCTCACCAAAGGATAGAAAGCAATGAAAAAGCAAATAATCTAGCTAGAAAAGGAGCGAACACTCCACTAACTGGACTAGAACCGTTCTGTTTTCCAAACGGGAACCAACTGAAAGCGGAACTGAAGAATCTGGAAGACTCCATCCGTAACTTGGAATGGGTGTCCTCCAACGGTCTAAGATACTCGAAATAGTTCCTCAGAACTTACGACCGAGAAAAATCAAAGGTTTTCCTTGATTTAATTAAAAACAATCCTCGGATTTTCACGGGGTTTCTAACAGGACACTGTATCTTCAACGAACACCTCAGTAGGCTGAAACTGAGAAACAACGGCGAATGCAGATTCTGTGGGGAAAATGGGGAAACACCTTAATCACTGAGTCTGCCGAGACGACGACCATTCGTACCATGAACTTTGGTACGGCTGATGTCGAGGATGGAGAGCTGGCCTCTGTGCAGCCGTCTCAGATACTGGCTTTTGTTAAAGCCCTGAGACTGTATGATGAGTTATAACTCGTTATAACTCAAGAAAGGGAAACACACAATAGATCTGTAAGGTCGCGGTGATTAACTCCCCTCCTAAACATTCTACATCTGTCTACAATTTCCATGGATTGACCTCGTAACACTAATTTTCATTAGTGCCAAAATGTTCAGCATTAATACATAACCACTCTCACGTGACGAAACTTTTTTGTTCTAAGCCATCCAAAACGCATAATATAGTACCGACGTTCCAGACAAATGTTCTTACATTTATCATAATTTGGAAATTAATCAAAGGCATCGGTATCGAACCTACTTTGATCCGAGTCTGGCACAAGCTCAAAAAATTTACTAGCCGCTTCGAATAGTCTATCGAATGTTTGAACTCAGTCGTTTACGTATCATCGCCTGCGAAAATTCAATTGTAGTTTTCCTTTACGTGTCCTATTTTTTTATACCTACATTTCGCGGAACATTAGTATAGTGTTTTACATTGCAGTGCATCCAGAATATCTAATCTTAGTTTTAAAGGAACTTACATGAATAGAATAAGTGAAGAAACAAGAGTTTATAAAAGAACATTTCGGTAAAATTTTTCGTGTTTTTTTTTTAAAAATAGCGATTACATAGTGAAAAATCTGGATACAACTGGAAGAGTTTAGACTTGTGACCTGTGGAAATCTTCAACGATTTTATTTTAGTACTATATCGGTGTTTATCCGTAATGTATATTTTGGATTGAGTTAGTGAATTTTCATAAACTTGAAGTTTACCCAAAATACCCAAGCGTTGAGACAAATAGACGATTTACATAATTTCGGTGGTTCAATGGACGTTCGAGTCACGTGGATCTAAATCAGGTGTTTCGAACGGTTAATGCGACTGTTTATGTGGATATTTTCTCGAGTGATTATTACTACTGACCTATTTTGACAGTTCAATATAAATGGGTTGCGGTTTTAGACCGGAAATACATGGTTTGGCATTGGTATGTATATAAGTTTTTGGATTATGAAAAAGTGACTATTTTTAAATGGCTTCTGTGTGGGTTGGAGTTATTAATATATGTTTTTATTTGAAATTGTGTCAAATAGTACATATACAGAGTGATTGAATGGGTAAGTTTTTATTTAACACTAATTTTTACTGAAAATGTAACAATGTAACAAACCAATAAAAAACAAGCGAGGGTTTTGGTGCAATAGTGTCTCTATGATGCTATGTTCCATCCACATCTGTATACATGAGTGTCTTCTTATACACCCTCTGGTGTTTTGTTTTTTTGGTAAAAATAAATAAAAAACAATGAAGTAAATACCCTGTGGATACACTGTAGCTAGAGGGTGGTAAGTAGGAATCGGCAAGACAAGAAATCTTGTCTTGACAAGCAATTTCTTGTCTTGTCTTGAAATATTTTCAAGAATTAAAAAAAATCTTGTCTTGACCATTTCTTGAGAGTTGATTTCTTGTCTTGGTTCAAGAAATTTTGAAATTTCTTGATATCTTCACAAAAGGGGAACCGCCGTTTAAAATTCGTTTATTAAAGGGGAACCCCCTGTTTAAAAGTCGAGGTGAGATTGGTTAATGTGATGTTTATGCTTTATGCGGAAAATTGAGTGTCAGGCATCTAATTTTCAAAAACTTTGGGCTCATTATACCGTATGATCGAAAAAAAACGGCGTCCAGTTGGCTGGGAAATGACGATCAATGACATTTCCCATATAAATTTACATATAAAATGACAGCGACCTTCATTTCATAACCATCGTTGACGCCGTTTTTTCTCGATCATACGGTACTACAGTAGCCAAAATCATCAGATTTACGTAAATTTGTTAATTATTATTATAATTATCTAATATTAAAATGAGTGATTGTGATGGTTCGTTGAGCAGCAGATCTGAGCCATTCGTAATTGAATCTGGTTCAGAATACCTACCACCTCAGACACCTGGACGTAGAAGTTTAATTAGAGACTTTGACAGTATAGTGACGGTGATAATACTACTACAGATAAAAACAGTGAAAACAACAATGATAAAAGCTACTCTACTTCAGTGGCGTACATTAAAATGTATTATTTTTTTTTATTTTAAAAAGTTTTACATTAATTCAAAAAGTCTGTATGCCACTGAAGTAGACCCGCTTTGCAAAGTTTTTTTTACTCTAATATCGTAGGCCATAACATTGTTGACCCACAGTATGCCAACTTTGGACATCCGACTTTGGACGAACTTATGTCAACTTTGGACATTGGACATCCGGCAAAGTGCCGCTTCGTACAAATATTTTTTGCTTAATAATTTTTTTATCCATCAATTAATGGGTATTCGTATAATTTACAAATACCTAAGTAAATGAGTATTTTTTTTTATTTTATATTTTCAAGAAATTTCAAGATTTTCTTGATTTCTTGTCAAGAAATATTGATCTTGAGAAGTAATTTCTTGTCTTGCCCTGAAAACCAAAAATCATTTCTATCTTGAAATCAAGACAAGATCAAGAAGTTGTCAAGAAAATGACGACCCCTAGTGGTAAGGAGTCCACCTTGTCTTCAGTTGCGGATGGTACATGTCGAAGGAAAATCCTGTGTATTTAACTTATTTGCTTCTTTTTTTTTGACAAAAATTAAGAAAAAAATAATGATTTAAATATCTTTTGGCTACTGTACCAGAGGGTGGTAAGAAGTACTTCATGTCTTCAGATGCTGATGGTGAGAGCCAAAATCCCGGCTGTAATATTTGCGCCATTTTTAAGCAAAATAATTAAAAAATAACACAAAAAACGTATTTTATCGAACGAAGAAACTGTTCAAAAAGAAACCACAAACTTAAGAGGTTTTTGCTTTTGAAAGTCTTTGGTTAAAATTGTTTTAAAGTTTTAAAGATTTCAGGAAGTGAGTTAAGAGCAGAAGTTAAAAAAACTTCTGGAAAAGTAGTCGATAATTTTGATGGAGAAAAAATTATTCGGTTTTTCAGGAGGCCCTCGAGACCGCTTAAAGAACAATCAATTTAAAACCAAGAAAAAAATAATTTCTTGTATCTACAGGGTGTCCACCAAAACTGTGTTTAAAGTTAAATCCAATTTTTTTTAAATTACCTCTATTCTTTTTATACTTTAATTAAGTGCTTCAAGTTATTTGTGATCACATATACTATTTAGTATGTTATTCCCTAGTAATAACATTATAAAAACCCTAATTTCCCAAAATACATATAAAAAAACTATCGTAAAACATTTTTGTTCCATTTCTTTCTGTCCACATCTGGCCGAAAGACATTTGTCAAGTGGTTTTTCAATTTCCAAGCGATTACCGCTCTTCAGTGACCGTTAGTTTTTACCACCGGAGCAACTAATGGGCGTTTAATGATAGAGCCGAACCTGGAAGAATGTCGAAAACCGAACCGTAGTAGGATAGAAAATGAAGATGGAACGTGCCTTTACTTCCTGTCCTCTTATTTCTGAGTTTTTTAGATCGAATTTCGGTCTAAACCACATTTTAAACGCTGTAACAGCTTTTTCGGGATGTATGTTTAGTGTCATATTTTATTTACATTTTATTACAGTATCGTTGTTTTTAGATTAAATATTTATGCGCCATCTGATTTCTTTTCATTTTATGAGTTTCTTTCGTGTTATCTTATTTCTGAGTTTTTTCAGATGTTATATTCGGTCTAGCCACCCCTTTTTGGCATGTACCTGTCATTTATTTTATAGTTTGCAGTTATTTATTTTAATTATTTTTTATTATATTATTATCTTATTTCTGAGCTCTATATGAGCATGTTTTTAGAATAGATAATTATGTGCCCTCATTTCTTATGTCTTTTATTGTATAAGCTTCTTTATTAAAATAGCGCTAAATATATTTTTTCTGTTACGGTGTTTCTTACTGAGTTTTCTTCTTGTGGTCTTATTTCTCAGTTTTTTCAGATATTGTTTTCGGTTTAACCATATTTTTTCGACATGTTACAGGTGTCATTTGTTTTGCAGTCTGCGGTAATTTATTTTGTAGTGTCGTCTTATTTCTGAGCTGCTTTGGAGTGTAATTTTAGATTAAAATACCGGGTCAGAATAATTATATCACACAATTTAATCTCAGAATAATTATATTTTGTTGAATATCGTCTTTTTTCTGAGCTGCTTCAAGGGTATTTTTAGATTAACTATTACCAAAAGTCTAGTGCCTACAATTGTTTTGTTAAATATTATTTAATTCATATAATTGTGTGAGTTATGTGTCCCCTTATTTCTGAGTACTTTCTGAGCTTCTATAAAATAGGTCTAAATATAATTTTTCTGTTGTACATTGTTCCTTATTGAGAATTTTTAACTATTGTTTTACGGAATTTGTAAAATGGTTGACCTTATTTCTGAGTTCTTAGAGCTTATTTTATTAAAGTATCGTCTTATCTCTGAGCTGCTTCAAGGGTATTTTTAGATTAACTATTACCAAAACTCTAGTGCCTACAATCTTTTTGTTGAATATTCTTTAATTCATATAATTGTATGGGTTCAGTGTCCTCTTGTTTCTGAGTATTTTCTGAGCCTTCTTTTATAAAATAGGTTTAAATATCATTTTTCTGTTATACATTGTTCGTTATTAAGCATTTTTAACTATTGTTTTACGTAATTTGTAAAATGGTTGACCCGAGGGTTGGCCTTATTTCTGAGTTCTTAGAGCTTATTTTATTAAAGTATTGTCTTATTTCTGAGCTGCTTTAAGCATATTTTTAGATTAAATATTACCAAAAGTCTAGTGCCTACAATTTGTTTTGTTTAACATTCTTTAATTCATATAAATGTGTGAGTTTTGTGTCCTCTTATTTCTGAGTATTTTCTGAGCTTCCTTAAAATAGGTTTAAATATAAATTTTCTGTTGTACATTGGTTCTTTATTGAGTATATTTTACTATTGTTTTACGTAATTTGTAAAATGGTTGACCTTATTTGTGAGTTCTTAGAGCTTATTTGTTGTTAAAACAATTTTAAAATTTACTCAGACACACTGCTCATTCACGTCGAGTCAGTTAGATATTAGATGAGATCGGATGAGTAAGAGTTGATAGGCTATGGAATTTGTGTAAACAAAGTAGGTTCCGTCCAGATTAGCACTGCATGAAAAAAAGGAAATGAAAGAAGGGAAATACATTACGTACCTTTTTCAACAGTTTCTTGACTAGTAGATAAATAAGACAGATCCTTCTTTTTAATTTATGTCCCCGCTTTTCTGGTATTCCAGGTCAACGGTGACGATGAATGGGAGTACGAGGAGATCATCCTGGAGCGAGGAGGCGCTGGACTCGGGTTCAGCATCGCGGGAGGCACTGACAACCCCCACGTGGGCGACGACACGGCCATCTACGTCACCAAACTGATACAAGGTGGCGCTGCCGCTGCCGATGGAAGGCTTCTGGTCGGCGACTCTATCCTGGCTGTCAACGACCAGCCCGTGGTTGACGTTCCTCATGCTATGGCGGTTGAAGCCCTGAAAAGGGCGGGAAATTCAGTCAAATTGGTGAGTATTTGTAGTCTATTCATTCAGAGAAAGAATCTCCAACTCCGTTTTGAAATACGTGGCTGTTTGTATTAATTTAGCTGTCAATTTGAGTTAAAAACATTAATCTACTTTATTTTAAAAAATCTAATTTTACGTTTTTTGTATTATATTTTAAGTTTTACGTACGATATAGATAGATAAATCCAATATGAAAATACTGCTTTTAAAGCTCACTGAACTTTAAATTCATTTCCTCATAGCACATTGCGCCTCGAATGTTTTTAAAAGTATTTTCCAAATGAAAAATCGGATTTATAACTTTTCAATTTGGATTCCTCCTCATCTTTATATCGCTTATCCCTGGAAAACGTGCGAGACCCGTCCTCAGACATCGCCGATGCAACGTCAAATTTAACATATGCATCCTCCAAAGTCGAAAGCGAGAGAAAAAGTTTTTCGCGGGAATAAATCGCGAAAAATTGGAACGAAAGCTGGAAGCGATCCCGAAACAATTTAACTTAAAATCTTTGCCAAATCCAGCGGTAATTTGTCCCGTCCAGGATCGGAAATGGAGATTCTAATGAAGGTTTACCGGTTTTTTGTTCGATTTTAAGCGAGAATTATTGGTCTGTTTTGAAGAGCTCGCTCCGTTTCGAAATACGTGGCTGTTTGTATTAATTTAGCTGTCAATTTGAGTTAAAAACATTATTCTATCTTAATTTAAAGAACCTACTTGTACACTTTTTTGTATTATAAATCTCATCTATACGATATAGACAGCCAAATCCAATATGAAATTACTGCTTTTAAAGCTCACTGAATTTTAAATTCATTTCCTCGTATCGCCTCGAATGTTTTCAAAACTATTTTCCAAATGAAAAATCGGATTTATACCTTTTCAAATTGGATTCCTCCTCATCTTTATATCGCTCATCCCTGGAAAACGTGCGAGACCCGTCCTCAAACTTCGCCGATGCAACGTCAAATTTAAAATATGCATCTTCCAAAGTCGAAAGCGTTTTAGCTCCTAAACCGTCAAAGTTCAAATTGCGGTTTATATGTAAATCGCGCCGATTCAGGCAAAAATTCCAGTCGAGAGAAAAAATTTTTCCCGGGAATAAATCGAGAAAAATTGTGGACGAAACCTGGAAGCGATCCCGAAACAATTTAACTTAAAACCTTTGCCAAATCCAGCGGTAATTTGTCCCGTCCTGGATCGGAAACGGAAGTTCTAATGAAGGTTTATCGGGTATTTGTTCGATTTTAAGCGAGAATTATCGGTCTGTTTTGAAGAGCTTGCTCCGTTTTGAAATACGTGGCTGTTTGTATTAATTTAGCTGTCAATTTGGGTTAAAAACATTAATCTACTTTATTTTAAAAAATCTAATTTTACGTGTTTTGTATTCTAAATCTTACGTACGATATAGATAGATAAATCCAATGTGAAAATACTGCTTTTAAAGCTCACTGAATGTTCATTTCCTCGTAGCGCCTCGATTTTTTTTAAAACTATTTTCCAAATGAAAAATCGGATTTATAACTTTTCAAATTGGATTCCTCCTCATCTTTATATCGCTTATCCCTGGAAAACGTGCGAGACCCGTCCTCAAACATCGCCGATGCCACGTCAAATTTAAAATATGCATCCTTCAAAGTCGAAAGCGTTTTAGCTCCTAAACCTTCAAAATTCAAAGTGCAGTTTATATATCGCGCCGATTCAGGCAAAAATTCCAGTCGAGAGAAAAAGTTTTTCGCGGGAATAAATCGCGAAAAATTGGAACGAAAGCTGGAAGCGATCCCGAAACAATTTAACTTAAAATCTTTGCCAAATCCAGAGGTAATTTGTCCCGTCCAGGATCGGAAATGGAGATTCTAATGAAGATTTACCGGTTTTTTGTTCGATTTTAAGCGAGAATTATTGGTCTGTTTTGAAGAGCTCGCTCCGTTTCGAAATACGTGGCTGTTTGTATTAATTTAGCTGTCAATTTGAGTTAAAAACATTAATCTATCTTAATTTAAAGAACCTACTTGTACACTTTTTTGTATTATAAATCTCATCTATACGATATAGACAGCCAAATCCAATATGAAATTACTGCTTTTAAAGCTCACTGAATTTTAAATTCATTTCCTCGTAGCGCCTCGAATGTTTTCAAAACTATTTTCCAAATGAAAAATCGGATTTATAACTTTTCAAATTGGATTCCTCCTCATCTTTATATCGCTCATCCCTGGAAAACGCGCGAGACCCGTCCTCACACTTCGCCGATGCAACGTCAAATTTAAAATATGCATCCTCCAAAGTCGAAGGCGTTTTAGCTCCTAAACCTTCAAAGTTCAAAGTGCGGTTTATATGTATATCGCGCCGATTCAGGCAAAAATTCCGGTCGAGAGAAAAAGTTTTTCGCGGGAATAAATCGAGGAAAATTGGGACGAAACCTGGAAGCGATCCCGAAACAATTTAACTTAAAATCTTTGCCAAATCCAGAGGTAATTTGTCCCGTCCAGGATCGGGAAACGAAGGTTCTAATGAATATTTATCGGGTTTTTGTTCGATTTTAAGCGAGAATTATTGGTCTGTTTTGAAGAGCTCGCTTCATTTTGAAATACGTGACTGTTTGTATTAATTTAACTGTCAATTTTAGTTAAAAACATTTATCTGTCTTGTTTAAAAAAATTGATTTTACACTTTTCTGTATTATAAATCTCATCTACGATATAGATAGGTAAATCCAATATGAAAATACTGCTTTAAAGCTCAGTGAATTTTAAATTCATTTCCTCGTAGCGCCTCGAATGTTTTTAAAACTATTTTCCAAATGAAAAATCGGATTTATAACTTTTCAAATTGGATTCCTCCTCATCTTTATATCGCTCATCCCTAGAAAACGCGCGAGACCCGTCTTCAAACTTCGCCGATGCAACGTCAAATTTAAAATATGCATCCTCCAAAGTCGAAAGCGTTTTAGCTCCTAAACCTTCAAAGTTCAAATTGCGGTTTATATGTATATCGCGCCGATTCGGGCAAAAATTCCAGTCGAGAGAAAAAGTTTTTCCCGGGAATAAATCGAGAAAAATTGTGGACGAAACCTGGAAGCGATCCCGAAACAATTTAACTTAAAATCTATCTTTGCCAAATCCAGTGGTAATTTGTCCCGTCCAGGATCGGGAAACGGAGGTTCTAATGAAGATTTATCGGTTTTTTGTTCAATTTTAAGCGAGAATTATCGGTCTGTTTTGAAGAGCTCGCTCCGTTTTGAAATACGTGGCTGTTTGTATTAATTTAGCTGTCAATTTGAGTTAAAACATTAATCTACTTTATTTTAAAAAATCTAATTTTACGTTTTTTGTATTATAAATTTTACGTACGATATAGAAAGATAAATCCAATATGAAAATACTGCTTTTAAAGCTCACTGAATTTTAAATTCATTTCCTCGTAGCGCCTTGAATGTTTTTAAAACTATTTTCCAAATGAAAAATCGGATTTACAACTTTTCAAATTGGATTCCTCCTCATCTTTATATCGCTCGTCCCTGGAAAACGCGCGAGACCCGTCCTCAAACTTCGCCGATGCAACGTCAAATTTAAAATATGCATCCTCCAAAGTCGAAAGCGTTTTAGCTCCTAAACCTTCAAAGTTCCAAGTGCGGTTTATATGTATATCGCGCCGATTCAGGCAAAAATTCCAGTCGAAAGAAAGAGTTATTCTCGGGAATAAATCGAGAAAAATTGGGTCGAAACCTGGAAGCGATCCCGAAACAATTTAACTTAAAATCTTTGCCAAATCCAGCGGTAATTTGTCCCGTCCAGGATCGGAAACGGAGGTTCTAATGAAGATTTATCGGATTTTTGTTCAATTTTAAGCGAGAATTATTGGTCTGTTTTGAAGAGCTCGCTCCGTTTTGAAATACGTGGCTGTTTGTATTAATTTAGCTGTCAATTTGAGTTAAAAACATTAATCTACTTTATTTAAAAAAATCTAATTTTATGTTTTTTGTATTATAAATCTTACGTACGATATAGAAAGATAAATCCAATATGAAAATACTGCTTTTAAAGCTCACTGAATTTTAAATTCATTTTCCTCGTAGCGCCTCGAATGTTTTTAAAATTATTTTCCAAATGAAAAATCGGATTTACAACTTTTCAAATTGGATTCCTCCTCATCTTTATAACGCTCATCCCTGGAAAACGCGCGAGACCCGTCCTCAAACTTCGCCGATGCAACGCCAAATTTAAAATATGCATTCTCCAAAGTCGAAAGCGTTTTAGTTCCTAAACCTTCAAAGTTCAAAGTGCGGTTTATATGTATATCGCGCCGATTCAGGCAAAAATTCCAGTCGAAAGAAAGAGTTTTTCCCGGGAATAAATCGAGAAAAATTGGGACGAAACCTGGAAGCGATCCCGAAACAATTTAACTTGAAATCTTTGCCAAATCCAGCGGTAATTTGTCCCGTCTCGGAAACGGAGGTTCTAATGAAGATTTATCGGGTTTTTGTTCGATTTTAAGTGAGAATTACTGGTCTGTTTTGAAGAGCTCGCTCCGTTTTGAAATACGTGGCTGTTTGTATTAATTTAGCTGTCAATTTGAGTTAAAAACATTAATCTACTTTATTTTAAAAAATCTAATTTTACATTTTTTTGTATTATAAATCTCCCTTATGATATAGATAGCTAAATCCAATATGAATTTTAAGTTCATTTCCTCATAGCGCCTCGAATGTTTCCTCGATGAAGCGATCCCGAAACAATTTAACTTAAAATCTTTGCCAAATCCAGCGGTAATTTGTCCCGTCCAGGATCGGAAACGGAGGTTCTAATGAGGATTTATTGGTATTTTGTTCGATTTTAAGCGAGAATTATTGGTCTGTTTTAAAGAGCTCGCTCCGTTTTGAAATACGTGGCTGTTTGTATTAATTTAGCTGTCAATTTGTATTAAAAACGTTAATCTACTTTATTTTGAAGGAAAACTAATTTAATATACCTACATTGAATAAAAACACTAAGGAGGGAAT